ATCTCATAATAAATCGTTTTAATCTATTAATATAATTATATTAAAAATTAAATTTTAAATTCCAATAATATTATATCCGCAAGTTGGCGTGTATATTAAATACTATTATAAAAAAATATAATCATTTAAAAATGTTATATATCAGAATTTACTCCTAAAACATTAAAGATTCATTTTAATAAGCTGATATCATAATACGCATGGTGGAGGGCTATGTATAATATTTAAAACAAAATCAAGCCGGTAAAGTATATTGTTAATATTACTATATAAAATATTATTTTGTGTCAAATGATATTTAATAATACCAAGTTACTATTTAAATAAAATAATTTAAATATTATTTATCTTGATTTATCTAAATATTATAGTAAATGATTAATTTATATTTATATAATTAGAATCATATTTATATAAATATTTCACATGATGCCATTCATTCATTTACCTTTTTTTACCTCAATAACAATAGATTTTTTTCTAGTCGTCATATATCTAATATATTCAATCAGAAATGGATAATCACGTAAGAAAATATTATATTACATGGGTAGGTCCTTAAGAATCTAGATACAGATGTGAAAAAACTAATCTTAGATACAGATACTAGTATTTTTTTCAAAATATCAAAATAAAATTAGAATAGTTTATAAAATATAGTTTTAACTATTTATTTGTGAAGAACATAACATATATTTAATAAGAATGAATATTTACAATAATTAATAAAATATTTAATGATGAGTTAATATATCAGGCATTTTAATATCAGTAATAGCCCATTCTTATAGATAGGGAAGGGAGACTAGTATTTTTAATGGGAGTTGAAATATTAATTTGTAAAAGAGTATTTAAAATAGATTTATTATTTTATAAGATAATCAAAATTTTCAAATAATATAGTATTAGACCTTTGCCATTTTGGCATACATAGCATTGTACCGAAACCAAATAACCTTTCAATTGAAGTTGATGAAGATATTACAGTATTATATTTATAAAATAATGTTATTTGTATTATTAAACTCAGCAACACTTGTTTCACCAAAAAAAATATTTTCTTTATTAGATATTAAATCTATTGATGTAATAGTTTAGATTATATACTATGATACTATACTACATTTAGGGCTTCTTTTATTAATATATTTTGAAAGTATTCTTTAATACATATCTTAAAATATTGATGTAATATTCATATCAAAAAAAAGCCTCATTATATTCAAATTATTGGAAAATATTTTCTTAAATTTTGTCCATACCATCTTAAGCATGAATTTTTAAGAAAACCTATGCTCCTTATAGCCACATATAAATAATATATTTTAAATGTGTTTAACAAAATTTGTGTTTAACCCTTTATCATTTTTATGTTTATACAGATTTTATATCCAGTCTTTTTAACTTTTATTTAAAAAAATTTCCATTTAAAATTTTAAGATTAGGATTTGATTCATGGGAACTTATTTCCATAACTTAAATTTCACAACCTTCTTCTTCACTACCATCCTGCAAATTAAAATATATTACATAAAATTGGTAATGATATTCTGTCGAGTCCAACATCGAAAAGAATATCGGTTCGGTTAACGGTTCGGATAAATATAAAGGTTCAGGTTCAATTAAAAATAACGCTTATAGTTCAGTTTAGATCCCTGCATTTATATATAAAATGTAATCTTTACTAATTTCGTTTGGGTTATTTTATATCCATTTATCTTAATATAAGTTGTAAATTTTTAGTTAATTTTGGTCGTCGATATATTTAAAATATGGCGAAAAAGAATAAGGAAATTAATAAATATTCTTGAAGAAAATAAGATATATGCTGTGATATGTAAAATTTTAAATATGAATATTAAAAAGTATATGTATCTTTTGCCAAGAAAATTAAAATCAAGGACAAGGGATGATATTGTAACTAAAATTTTTGGCAAAGAAGGACTTGTATTTTCATTAAGCGATAAAATCTTTGGAGAAAAGGTTCAAAATCTGCGAGATTATTGTAGAGATAAACAGTTTGTTAAATTATTGAAACATATAGATGCCAGTTGAAAAAATAATTTATTTTTATATGTATATTTACCTTTGAAAAATAAGGTAATATCGTATCTTTATACTAACAATAACTGCGAATCTTTAAATAATGTGTTAAAAATAAAGTTTAACCGAGATTCTACAACACCTGTGCATATGATGGTCAATAAAATTTATGAATTAAGTTTAGCACAAGAAAAAGATTTTGAAAGAGCCCTTCTTGGTATGGGAAATTATTATTTAACAAAAAAGTATGATGTGACAAAAATTCGTCATGAATGGGACCAGATAAGTGACGATCAACATAAAAAAATAATATTAAATGTGCTTAAATCACATAGTACAAATAAACGAAAAAAAATTACCTCGACATGTGATGGATTGACATTAATTCAACCTACAGGATCTAAAAAACCGTGTCAATCTAAAAGGTCTAGATCAGATAGAACTAGAGCCTAGTTATTATAGTTCCTACATAAAAATTAACCAATAAGCACTAATTTATTTCAGAATTAATTTATCCAAAGGCCCTTTTTAGGGCCATAACACTCAAAGGCCCTTTTTAGGGCCACTCAACCAAAAGTTCGCTACAAAATCCGAAGACCCTTTTCATGGTCATTTAAACAATCAAATTATATTACTTTAACGATTAACTTAACAAAACAAAATTTGTATAAAAAGAAATACATGGACGCTTAACCCACCAACAATTCTCATTAGATATTAGCCGACGTTAAACCCCCAAGTTATTATATCTCAGAATAGCAAATCAAAGTCTTTCGAAATCAACTGAAAATTCGAGCAAATACACAAATCCCCCCCCTCTCCATTCTTTACTTAAAACAAATATATCATTTTACAAATAAAATATAACGACATTTATAAAATTATCGGAATCCCTTATCTAATATTTCCCCTAAAAATGGTAAATCTTTATACATTATATACATTTTTATGCTAGGTGTAAAATAATCTTTTATAAAAAAATTTTCTGTGATATCTTATTTATTAGAATGATATTATTGTATGGTAATATAGTAATATGGTAATATTGTAATAATGACAATAAAAACAAAGTGGCTATTTATAAAAAAGATCAATATCAAGTATGCAAAAATTATTTTAAAAAATTAATTTATCTTACTTTAACCATTAAAATGTGATCATATGTAATTTATAAAAACCTATATTTGTTCTTGCAATTTTTCGAATGATAGATAATATATGGAATTTAGCTTACTTTTTAAGTAATAATACAATATTAGAATATAATAAAACAAAAAATAATTTTAAATTTTTTTATAAAATAATAATACGCCATCTTGCGGATTTAATATTATTGAAATAAATTTAATTATTAATATTTTTTAATATAATTATATTAAATATCGATTAGGGAATGTAAACAGATATCACATCTAACTTTCTTTTCTTCATATTCAGTAGTGACCTTTATTTGATTCATATATACTATAATATATAAGGTAAATAATAAATTGGTGTAATTAGATTATATTTATTATAAATATAAGCATAATAAAAATATACCTGAAATTTATGAAATTATCATATGGTTCTTTCATAAAAGATACAAACACAAAATGGCTACCAGTCACTTCAATTTTTGCCACTTCAAATATATTAATCGGCAGTCTATAGTATTAATGTCATTGATTAAAAGATTTAAACGATTTATTATGAGATAAAAGATAATTCAACTATTAATGTATATTTCTGGAGTCTTTAGACTACTTAGCGAATTCGATTCTTAATTTTTCGAATTAGTGTAATCTTATAGTCAAAGTTATATATTTTATTTTAGTAAATGAATATTATTGTATTTTATTGCAGACTTCATGTTGTAGAAACATTGTTTAATTAAGAACTAAATAAAACAAGAATTATTTTTTGTTAATTGTGTTCAATTAACATAATTTATTGTAATGTTAATTTAAATTATTGATCAGTTGAAATAATTTATTTTAATGTTAATTGAGTATTAATTTGAATATCTATTGAAATATTTTATTATATATACCAGTTGATTGTTATACATATTATTATTATTATTATTTGATTTTTTAAAAGAAGAAATAAATTTGATTTAAAACTCAAAAAAATAACTTGTTTCCTTCATGGTGCCCCGGCACGTTTTTGTAAAAATAAAATTAAATATATAAAATTTGCCTTAAATTAAAAAAAAGTAAAAATTAAATTCGAAGGATATGACTTGTCTTTTTTTTTTTTAAAAAAAAATAGTCAAATATTATTCTGATATATACATATACAAAAGGTAAAAAAAAAATTTTTTTTTTAATGTTTAAATTTAAGGCGATTAATTTGCCGGACACTATTTTCATCGCACATATGCTCGTGATATGTGTGGTTGTGATGCTACGCAATTATATGTTAATGAATGGGAGACCGCATATTATTCAAGATAAGAACTTTATGTTCATAGTTTGCGTGATCACAAAATGTTAAAACTTACAATTTTACGCCAATTTATATTTTGATACGCTTATTATGCTACAAATTATAGTATATAAATTGAATACGAATTACACATTTTTTCAAGTTATATTCATTTCTGATCTATTTTGATAATTTAAATATAAAGACATAATATTATCTGATTTTCTTTTATAACTTAAAATTAGAGATTTAGAATAATCTAGTTTTCTTTAAAAACTTAAATTTAAAGAATTATCCAATTTCCTTTGACGACTTAAATTCAATGAGATTGAATTATCTAATTTCCTTTGATGACTCAAAATTAAAGCATAGGATTTTTTTTGATTTGCTTAAAATTTAAAGACATATAATTATTTAATTCCGTTTGACGATGAACATAATTTTTTTGTTCGATATGAAATTCATAACTTAAAACATATAGTATTTTCTTAAAGTAAAATTTTTATTATGGACAATAAACTTAATGCTAATTATGGACAATAAACTTAATGCTAATTATGAACAATAAACTTACTGCTATATGCGATCCGTATCTCAGATTTACAAAACTTATTGGAGAGATGACGGACACATACCTTGATATGGTTAAGACATACTTTGAGGATTACATTGCATCTGACGCATCTAAGGCTAGGACCTTATTAGGTAACTTATCAATTGACATTTATGACAAAATTACATCCGTGTGTTCAAAGGCACAATTAAAAGATTATAAGGTTGTTTTTAATAAACTCAAATTATTAATTCCGAGGGAAGATATAAATTTAAGTATAAAAAATTTTAACTTAACGGTACAACGTGACGACCAGTCTTTTTATACATTTTTCTATAGAATACATAAATTACATAAGAAGTGCAATTTCCTAGATGACAGTAGAATTAAGGAGAAATTGATAACGTCTACTTTAAACGATCATATCAGATGGAAGTTGAATAAGCATAAGGACTGGACTGTAGAAGAGATGATGAAATTAGGAGTTGAGTTAGATGGTAGCAATATTAAACCAGACGTTAGCGATACAAATTATGTAGACAATGATAAAAAATTGGATAAAAATAAAAAAATTTCTAATTCAAATATTGATAAAATACTGCAAAAGTACTTTTAGTAATAATGAGAATAATTCTAATGATAAAGAACGTAATAATTTTAGAGAAAATAATTTTAATTGTAATGGACGTAACACTCGTAGGGAAAATTTTGATTTTAAGAAGAGGAATTATAATGATTTTAGGCCTAATGATAATGCTAGCCGAAACTATCAAAACAATAATTTTCGAGACAGTGTGGGTAACTCTAGAAATTTTCGTAATAACCAATCTTCGAACAACAATTCAAACTATAATGGAAGAAACTCCATGTGGCACAATAACAATAATGCAAACAATTATGATAGAAACAATGCCTGGCAAAACAATAATAACTTTGGGAGAAACATCTCCTGGTCTTACAACAACCAAAGAAATCAGAATCAAGATGATGATCGAAATGGTAACCGATATGAATCCTACAATTATAACAATAATAGTGATGGAGGAAACAATACATGAAAAACTAGAGCCAAAGTAATAGCAACAATTGCAATATAAACATTAAAGAGATTGTGGAAAATAAAAATGACGCTATAAAAATAATAATGATAGTGATTTTAATGTCAACAATTTAACCGAGCATAAACTTAATGACAATGCATTTATGACTTCTTTAAAAGTAAATGATGTTACCGTTACTATGCAAGTCGATACGGGATCTAAATTTACGATTATACCTCATGAAATGGCTAAACAAATAGGTATTAAAGATCTTAAAAAGTCCACTCTACAACTCTCAGCTTATGATGGAAACTTAATTGAAATTATCGGCGTAACTCAAGTTAAAGTAAGCTACGATGGTATCGCCAAACACTTGCAAGCAGTGATCGTAAAGTCTAATAAAAATGCATTATTGGGACGAATATTTTGAACAAGTTTATAGCAAACATCGATATCAATTATGAAGATGGAATAAATAAATTAATAAAAGATTGCGAATTTAAACTGACTACCAAACCAATCAACAAAGTTAACGTCAAGATACATTTACGAAATGATGCCAAACCTAAGATAATACTACCAAGGCGTATACCTTATTCAAAAATAGATGCTGTAACTAAAGAACTTATGAGATGGATAGACGAGGGAGTCATTGAGCCGGTGACGGATGTTCGATGGGCAAGTCCTATAACCGCTGTCTACAAAGAAAATGGGAGCGTTACGGTTTGCGCTAGCTCAAGGAGGGGAAGAAATTCAGCAAGATCGATTTCAAAGACGCGTTCTTACAAATTCCCATCGATATAAACTGCAGAAACTTATTAACCATATCTACACACAGGGGATACTACTGGTTTACTAGACTTCCTTTTGGGTTAAAGACTTCTTCTGCAGTTTTTCAACATATTATGGATCAAATTTTCGGTGACATGGATGTCATCTTTTATATTGATGACCTATTAATAACGGGAAGTAGTGACGAAGCTCATTTCAACAACATAAAAAGAGTTTTTGAAAGAATATTATCTTATAGCTTAGTGCCTAATTTTGCAAAAAGCTTATTCTTCAAAAAAAAGTTTGAGGTTCTTAGGACACGATATCGACGCCAATGGGATCCACGCCAACCATGACAAGATCGAGGCGATCGTTAGAATTCCGGAACCAAAATCAGCTGCTGAATTGTCAACGTTTCTGGGTATGGCACTACAGAAAATTTTTGAACAACTTTGCTGAAATAGGCGATCCTTTATACAAGATTGTCAACAAGGAAAAATGGGAGTGGAATTTAGAACACTCCAAAAGTTTTGATGATCTTAAGACGTTGATTAGTCTTCCTCCAGCTTTGAGGTACTTTAATCCTGAATTACCTATCGGAATTGCGACTGATGCATCTAAAAGAGGTTTAGGAGCTGTTTTGTTTCACACCGAAAAAGATAGCAAAGAAAAACCAATAGCCTTTGCGTCGAGAACTTTAGCAAAGTCCGAGATAAATTATACCAATATTGAGCGTGAAGCTCTGGCCATTATGTTTGCTATCAAGAGATTTCAAGAATACTTGATAGGGACTAAGTTCACTATTGTAACGGACCACAAGCCGTTAATCCATATATTCACCAAAGGGCTCAAAGATAATAGTACCATGTCCTTAAGATTACAGAAGTTGAATATAATTTGGGGGGGGGGGTTACGACTTTAACATCAGATATAAAGCTGGTAAATACAATGTTGTTCCTGATTGCCTCTCAAGATTACCACAAGTAATTGATGAGACGAGACGTTATTGATGATATCGCAATTATAAATGACTTTGGCGATATATCTCTTAGTTTTGACCGAATACGTGATGAAACGTCCAAAGATTTTGAATTATCTCATGTTATTAATGATATAAGAAAAATGTGCCTATTAAAAACAAAATTTATGAAAATATTGAATATGAACTTAGTATTATTAAAAATTGTCTGTACAAAAGCAACAAAATAATAATTCCAACAAGTCTGAGAAAGAACATATTAAAGGCATTACATGAAGGTCACATGGGAGCAGGTAAAATTAAATCCTTAGCCAAAGATTGCATGTGGTGGTCTGGTATGGTCAACGACATTGATTTGGAAGTTAGAAGTTGCGACGATTGTAATATTTTTCACGACAATCCAAAGAAAATACAAAATCCATGGGTATTGGCGACTATACCTTTTGAAAGGATTCACATAGACTATGCGGGTCCATTTTTTACAAAAAATAGGTTAATAATCGTCGATGCCTATAATAAATTTCCAATTATAGTTCCTGTAAAAAACATCACGACTGAATTCACGATGAAAGAAATTTATAAAACTATTTCACTATTTGGCATACCTGAAACCATTGTTACAGATAACGGTACCAACTTTACAAGCAAGGACTTTGAGATATTTTGTAGTAACTATTGAATAAAACATGTACTAACATCCGCCTACCATAAGCAATCTAATGGACAAGCTGAACGTATGGTGAGAACATTCAAAGCTCACATGAAAAGAAACATAAAAATTGACTTAGAAACTGCACTGGACAGATTCTTGTTTAACTACAGAAACACACCGAATGATACTACAGGTGTCACACCATCCAAAAGAGTGTTTAACCACGATATTAGAATAATGTCGGGACTTATTTAAACCATTGGAGGATAAAATTGATAAAGTCAATATCGCTACCGAGAAATCGAACCTTTAATATAGGAGACTTCGTTTGGTACAAGAAACAGAGTTATGACACGTGGTGCAAAGGCAACATCACGCACAAAGAGAGTGACACCATGTTCCAAGTTAATACGGATAAAGGTGTATTAAGGAGACTTATATACCAGTTATGAAAAAGGGAATGTTATAATAGGTTTAAATATTATGAAAGTGACCCTAAGAATTGTAAAGAGGGAAGTGTAGACATAAGTAAATATAGTAAGATACCTTTCAGACCATCAAGAATTAAACAAAAACCTTCTTATTTAAAAGATTTTATAACTTAAATTATTAAAATAAAATATTAAAACGCAACTTAAATTATTAAAATAAAATATATAAAACGCAAAATTTGAAAAAACGCGAAATATTATATAATAATCTTTTTTGATTTATCATTCTTACGGAATTCTACATATTTATCATTCCATATTCCAAAATTTTTATTCCAAATCGCAAAATATTATATAATAATCTTTTTGATTTATCATTCTTACGGAATTCTACATATATATCATTCCATATTTCAAAATTTTTATTCCAAATTCTTTTTTTCCAAATTTAAAATTTTATTCCGTATTCCATATATTCAAATTTAATCAATTATTCCTTATGATAATGATAACGTACAACAATTTTATCAAACCTACGAAAACGTATGGACTCACGCAACTCAAACATAGACTTATGCGCTCACCGAGCAGCAACTTGATACTTTGTCGAAGAGGGGAATGTAAATTGTGTTCAATTAACATAATTTATTGTAATGTTAATTTAAATTTTTGATCAGTTGAAATAATTTATTTTAATGTTAATTGGGTATTAATTTGAATATCTATTGAAATGTTTTATTATATATACCAGTTGATTGTTATACATATTATTATTATTTGATTTTTTAAAAGAAGAAATAAAATTGATTTAAAACTCAAAAAATAACTTGTTTCCTTCATTTTTGAATTTTTTATAAGTTATTTATATCATAGGGAAATGGATCTCACTACAAATAAAAGATAATATATAAAAAATTTTACCTAAGCATTCGCAGTTTACCTTAGCATTCGCAGTTTAGTCAAACCCCTATTTTTTTAAAGTATTATTTTCTATATTTTTGTAAAATAATTTAATATATATTCTTTTTTAAAATTTTGTAATTTTTTTATTAATCATATTAATTAATAAATTCATTTTATAGATACATAATTATAAATCATAATTATTTTACCATAAGATATAATATTGTTGTTAAAATATAATTTGTTCGGCAGTGAAGACTGAAATATAAATTTATGGTATAATATTATAATAAAGATATTGACGATATATATTCGAATATTCTAGAAACATTGGGAATAGGGGCAGGAGAAAATCAGGGGGGGGGGGAAATAGGGAATTAAAATCTATAAAAAATATTTTGATAATAATGAAATTTATATACATATTAATTAAGTAGTAAGTTCATATTTGGATTATAAATAATATATAATTATGAATAAGTGTTGTTAAATCGCTAGATTTGAGCCGATTAAAAACGGCTAACTCAACATTATAGCCAAGAAAATATTGCCCAAGCGTCAAAATTTCGCCAATAGATGTTCAATCCTATGTGCCATCTATGAAAAAAAACCTTTAGTCCTGCATAATATTTTTCTGGATAAAATATTGAGTCAGCCGTTTTTAAAAATCGGCTCAAATAGAGCCGTTTTACAACACTATTATGGATATTGACGAAATATATCCGTTGCTCTATAAATATGGGAAAAGGATAGGAGAAAATCGTGGAAAAAATAGTGAATTAAAACTTACAAAAAATATTATAATTATAACGAAATTTGTAAACATATTAGGTGCCAATTTTTAAATAATTAAGTAATGATAAATTTAATGACAAGAAGTGAAAGCAAATTGGAAGGATAGAAGTGTAAGACTTTAAGCGAGTAAAACCGATTCGCTATATTTCAATAAAAACAATAAATGTTGTTATGTATAAGAAAATATCACAATAATACCTCTTTTTGCCAATTATATAATAAATAATTTACATGATTTTTATATGACTACAGTAAATTTTTTTTTATGCCATATGTAATAAATTAATTTAATTGCCATTTTTAATTAAAGAATTAATCGAGAAAATTAAGGAAATCACAATGTTTTAAGAGAAAGAATTTGAAAAATATCTCCCAGAACAAGAAGAATATTTTTTAAAAAATCAATATCTAATTTCTAATACCTTAATCAATAGATTGCAATGATACATTTAATATTTCAACTTTACTTAAAAGATAAAAGTTTACAAAACCAAAAGGCTTAAAAATTAACTTCCATTTGATAAATATTATTTATTTGATTTTATATTATAACTTCGAATCCTTTCTACTATTCTCATATAAAGAAAATAAGAGAGATATATATTACTCTACATATTTTTAAAATTTACCTAAAAAAGTATCAAGTTACTTTCGTAGTTTATTATGAAGGTGAAAATTTGATATATAATTAAGTAGAATATGAATGAAGCAAATAGGAATATTTGTGAGGGATCTAGACATGTATATGGATAATATTTTTTTTGGAAAAATAAAAATTAATATGGATGAAGTAAATAGGAAAATTTATGCTGGTCAGTGGTATATTGGTGTACTGTTTAAAAATTTGACGGGAGGGGGGGGGGCTATGATTTTTATTTATATATTATCGAAAAATATGGTATATTTTAAATTACTTTTTTTTATTACGAATATGAATAAATTCTTTATTTTTCTTGGGCTACATTTATCTATGAAAAGATTTAATTCTCCCACTATGATTTATTTTACATATTTTAATACATGGAACTGAAATTCTTTCTGATATCGAGGTCCTTTAATATTTATGAATATTAAATTTGACAAATTATTTATTCTTAAACTTTCTCAATTATTTACCATGATCAAAATCATAAGAATGAAAGCCCCCTTTCACCAGCAAATACTGCAGGATAAAGTATTCCCAGAGTTAAGGAATTTTTTAATATCTTTATCGATATATTGTCTCAGCAATCGTTTCATATTCATTTATTTTGAATCTTTGGTAGATTCTCTATTAACTTTTCGTCTAAAATGCACATCTAAATTCTTAGGGCCATTTTGAATAAAGAATATATCGGTAAGAATATCGAAAATAAAAAAAAATAATTTGATTAATTACCCTCGTTTTCAAAATTATCTATTAGTGTATTTTCTAGAGTAAATATAAATTATTTTTTTTAATCTTATGTTTAATTTTTTTAATGGTATAATCTTAAATAAAAGTTTAAATTTTGAATTAGCGATATCTATAAATTTACAAACATAACGCTTACATGAATTTTTGGATAGGAGCGATGATAGGAAAATGAATAATATTTATAAAAACGATAAAAATAACTGATATTTATTTCTCATTCATTCACATTAAAAATAGAGTACGGTTACCAACAACTAATTGATTACCACCAACAGTTCTTCCATGCCTAAATAATCACGAGGCCTGAGAGAGTATAATCAGAATTATATGAAGGTTATTAATGTAGGCTCATTATAAGACTTTTATTATTAATACCAGAGGGTTGCTATAGAATAATGTGTGGGGAAATATAAAGGCCGTTTAATTTATTTAAGGGGGTAAATGTTGATCTTGGAAGGGGTTTGCTATCAATAATTTTCTGTCTTGTAAACTTTGCCTACATCATATTTCATTATCGTCAACATGTTCCTAATAGTTTATTTTTTTCAAATATTAATCAAACAAAAATGTATCATTGGTAACAGGACCCAAAAATTTAAATTCTTCCAAAGTAAATTGATTAATTTTAATAACTAATATTCTACCTATTTGAAAATTTCTAATTCCCATTTAAGCATCTAAAAGATTATCGCTAAGCCTTGAGGTAAGATTATTTATTTTTCAAGATTGAACTATACTTTAAGTTTTAACCTCAAGCGAAATATAAAAAACCTGCGAAAATGTAGTTATTTATCACCAACATTTGCTGATGATGAATTTTCTATACTTTAAAATAGCGGAAGCGGTGCTGATGTAAATTTTTAAATAAATGATTAAAAAATAAAACTTTTTGCTTCATTATTTTCTACGTGGATAAAAAAAATATGAAAAAGATTTTGTAAAAAAATGATTTAATTTAATACTTTTAAAAAAATTGTAAATTAAGCGGGGGGGGGCATAGCTCCCTTCGCAACACATCTGTTGATCTTGGATACATGTAACTTGAATTACTGGAAATATTATCGGAAAATAAATATGGAAATTTGGAGATTAATATAATATTGGAAAAAGGATAAGATATTGAATATATAAGATATCTTTTATGGCATTAGAATATAATTATGGAGATTTGGTTTATTTTAGGAATTACTGGATGTATGGAATATTAATGTAAGATAATCAATATGGAAATTAGTTTAATAGTTATTTGACAAAGAAAATTTTTAAAATGATAGATAAAAAGAATTGCGTAAGATTAAATATAAAGTGTTTTAGAATATTATTAAAAATATAATATAAATATTAAATATGTGTAATTATAATATATTAGGATGCACAACAAAAATTACTAGGAATCAATGCAATAGAGGGTTTATGATAGACTAATTTCGCCATGAATAGGATAGGACAATATTTATTGGGGAAGAGGGATATTAGATCATCGTAACGTATAGGAGCAAAAGAATAACTAAGGGATCTATTCTACATGGTGGATCTATAAGCTGACTTTATATGAATTTAATTAAGTTTATATGCACTTAAATTTATATACACTTTATATGAATATGGTTTACAATATAAGATAATCAATAATTTCAAATTATATAATTTTCCTTCTTAGAGTTAATCTGAAAACTGCTCGAATGAATCATAAATTGTCTTTGTCAGATATTTAGTTAATATATTTTTTACAGGAATACTAAACCAATCTTATAAATTTTTTTGCAATTTTTCAATATTAATATAATGTGAAATATAGTAGATAAATATATATGAAAATGATAAAATATACTTGTCTATTGTTTTAATATACAATAGAGTTATCTAATATCTATTTACGCTCCTATCCAAATAATTTATATAATTTAAAATTAAAAATATTTAAAAACTATTTATTTTCCTAGTGTTATATAAATTTGATCGAAATATTATATGAAGTTAAGTTTTATATATTGAGGTATATTATCTTTTTATTACATTATTGTACAACTATTATAAATTTTAATAAACTAATTGGATATTTGTTAAAGGGCAATAAATAATTTATAACTACTATTTTATTTTAAAAAATAGTTTATTAAAATTAAGTTATTTTTATGATTTAGATATTCACAATGACTCAGGATGACAAAATTCATATAAAGACTAAAACTATTTATCCAGAAGACAGATTAGCTCTTAAATGGGATCTATGCTTATCAGATGCTTTATTAAAAACTGCCACAGGAACTGGTATGGGTATATTATTTTCACTTGTTGCATTTGGAAGGAGACCTTGGCCAGTAGCTCTTGGGTTTGGTTCAGGATTGGGAATGGCCATATCTAATTGTAGGCATGAACTATCTAGGCAGAGATTCATAGCCTCATTGGATAAAAATTCTCCATATTATGGTACCATGGATGGTTATTATGATGTAAATCACAATAGATGGTGGGATTTTGGAGGCTACAAATTGAGGCATGGTGGTGTGGAACGTAAAGACAGAAGATATTTAGAGGTTGTTGAGGATGAATATGATCCAAATTACTATAAAAATTCAACAAATAAGATTATTCATAAGGGTGAAAAAAAATTTGATCAATGGGGACATGAAATTAAGTCAGCTATTGATACAGTTGAGGACAAATTTATATCTGCAGGCAAAAAAGTTGAAAGTGGCATCAAAACTACAGGTCATAAAATTGAGAGTGGAATAGAGAAGATTGAGTATGGATTAAAGAAGGCTGGCCATAAAATAGAGGATACTTTTCGAAGTGCTGGAGATGCAATAGAAGATCAATTTAAGGCAAATGGAAGAAAAATTGATCATGGGCTTAGTCAAACTGGAGAAAAAATAGGGGATGGCTTAAAAGCAACTGGTAAGAAAATAGATAATAGTCTTAGATCAGCAAATTATGTAGAAGGTGGGATCATAGATGTTGCTCAAAATGTTGAATATGCTGCACAGAAAGTTAGTGAATCCTTATCCAATAAATAAATTTCTATCAAAATTGCTTGTTCAAAAAATGTTTACATTAAATAATTTGTTCATTTTAAAATAGTGCAAAAAATTTGAAGAATTTTATCTTATACATATTTCATATATATTAATTTATTTGGAAATTAGTTTCACAATTTATTATACTTGATTAGATATGCCTTTTAATTTATTAGAAAAATAGTGTTAAATTTAATAATTTGTGTCCCATACTTTATTATTTATAATTATATATATATAATAGCGAATAAAATAAATGATGTGTTAAATAGTTATTTGCTTGATTATTTATAATTATAATTCCAATAGTAAGTATAAATAAAATAGAGTTAATCATGATCTGAGCTTTTAACACCAAATAATTTCATTATAATTATGAAATATATATAACAATAATTTAAAATATCATTATATTTAAAAAAAATCTAAGTTTCTATTTTCTTGGCTGTTGAATAGGAAAACTTTTCTCATTGTGAAAATAATTTGTTGATCGTGGTGCATCCTTGCTTGCAAATGGTGGTTTATCATGAAATGCTTTGACTGCTTCAGTAGTAAAATCTAAATTCCCCTATGGTTCTTTTTAATAAGGTAAAATTGTACAAAAGTATTACTTTGGAAAGATATCCTGATAAGTTGATATTCTTATCTTTTTGAGCACTTTAAAATAAAGCTTTATATGCAAGAAACACAATATAATTACATTTTATTTTCAGTATCTTCTTTTTCTTTTTCCTCCTTATCTATATTTGGTGGAAGATTTTGAGATATTCTCATTCCACCAACTTTTACTAAATCATTATTTTATATTTCAATATCTTTAAAAAAATTACCTGCAGGCAAATGTCCACCTTTTAAATCAATATGCTCGCTACCTTCTTCAGTCATTGTTAATTTTAAAATTCACGTTATAAATTATAAAACTATGGCCAACTTTTTGTTTGTTTAATTATAACGAATGAATTAAAATTGAAACCCTTTTCAAGGACAAAATTTTAATTTTTTTAAATGATAAAATGCAATAAGAATTTATATATAAGTTGATTAATATTATTCATTAAGAAATATTTATTTTAGTTACAATAAATAGAGTGCACAATTTAACAACGTTAAATTACTCTTTTCTATTATTTTTGTTATTTTATGATTGTATTTTGTTTATATAGTTATATAATTTTTTTATGCTATAAATAATTTCTAAAAATTTATGAAAGGACTAAAATACAATTATTGTAACGTTTAAAAAATAGTAAAAACTTTTTGTTACATTATTGCAACAAGTAAAGGTCTCTTATAACATGTCATATTCAGATAGTTTTGTTAAACGGCTCAATTTAGGCAATTTAAAAAACGCTTAACAATTTTGGATAAAAGTAAATTACTTTACCTTATTGCCCACAGATGGAAGAAAGTTTGAACTTAGGTAGTATTAATTTGTCCTAAATCTTAAATTAGCCCTTTTTATAAAAGGCTAAATATAGCTGTTTTGCAATATTATAGTTAGCTATAAACATTAAAATTATTTTAAATGAGACTATTAAATTTTATAGAAAATATACACTTAGTCCTCCATGAAAGTTAGTTAATTTCATTTAAAGTAGAAAATATTGATATTTTTAATAATTGTAATCTTACAATTTTTTTAAAATATTTGAATGTATTGCACAGTCTTCTAAAAATATGTTTAATAAATAATATATTAAATATTTACTAATTTTATCTTAAAATTTATTTTAATATTCTTAAAAATTAACCAGTTTATATTTGGTGATAATTTTTTTAAAATATTTTTTTAACTCTTATTATATGTAATTTATGAGCCATATAGCAGGCTGTAGATTCGCCATTCCCGTTTATGTCTATAGATTTATATATTCTATTACAATTAACAATATAAATGAATTCGCTGAATAATATAATATTTAACACAAATGCTGTGTCTAATTCAAATGCTCTACCCTCATACCCATTAAAAAATCCTTAAATAACCAGCAGATGGCAAAATTTCCTCAATACTAAAGTTTTTACAATAGAAATTTTTAGACACAATTATGGTTCCTTTTTCAAGGACTCAATTATAGAATTTTATTTTTAATTATATAATTATAAATTTATAAATTATAATTTTTTTAATTAGGTTTTATGTAAATTTAAAAATTAAGAAAATGCTTTTTAAAAAAATTTATATTGACTATAAAATGCTCATAGCGTTATGATTACAAAATTAATAACAAAATTTATAGAAATTAATCAAATTCTCATATATAAATAAATCAGGGAAATATTGTAATGACTAATTGTTAAACTTTAGCATTTACAAAGGTAAAAGTTATTAAAAATAAAAGAAATATTTATATTGCAATTGTTACATAAGAGCGTATATAATTGTTAAAAAATATAATAGATACATAAACCGGTATGTAAATCACCATAAAATATAGAATAAACATTATATGATATTTTAAAAGTTAAGAAAAATGTCGTTCATATATGGAATTTTAATCTTCTTTGCAATTGGGCCAATTTTTTAAAATAAATATCTGTATTAGGGTTCGAATCTCTTTGTATATTTAGTAGATCTAATCCATGCTTAATTTTCTAATATTGTACTGCTGATTCTTTGTAATGAAAATACATCTTTCATTTTTGCTTATATTAATTGGTATTGTTGTCAAAATATATACATATTTTGATAGAATTGGGGAAAAACTTCAGAATATTTTAAAGTATGCAATGCATCAATAATGTTCTTGGAGGATTATCTACGAAAATTAACTTTTCATACCAAGATTCAAATTCGGAAATTAATAGGCGTCAATTTTAAATACTCTGAATAAAGATGAGCTAAATATGATTTTTTCAATATCAAGATCTAATATTCCTCAGAAGTTCTAAGTAATGGAATTTGTAAATTAGATAGAGTCCTTTTATGATAATATTGTAATATAAATAGTATTTCCTGATAACCTTGTTACATCCTTTTCCATCTTTATATATTCTTCATTTTACTTAATAGTTGTATTTGCAATTGTTAGGTGCATCAGATTATGACGATGAATCAGTTATTATTTCAAAAACTATTAATTGGGTTTGATCAAATTAAATTATATTTTTATTAAATTATTACTTTGTTTTTTTGGTTGATAAATTTTTTTATAAGTATTAGTATTCAAGAGTTAAAAATTTAAAAAAAATATACTTTAAATTTATGTGGGAAAAAAATACCAATACCCAATAAAAATATTTAAATTAATTTAAACTTTACAAAATTTAAAATAGATTATAACCTATTTAAAATAGAATATTTTGCAATTCAATACATGAAAACCTATTATATTTTATAAAAATAATTTATGATCTGCATTTATTTAAAAGAATAGGGGGGGGGGGTACCCCTTGTAAAAAAGTCCCATTTTGTAAAATTTTATCACTATTCCCGAAAATATAATTTTGAATCGCATATAATTTAAATATTTTTGAGATTCTTTCATACCATGTTATATCTATAGGAAGTAGAATAAACTCCATGTTTGAGAAAACGTCTATGCTTCTAATTCCGTTAACTGGCATCATCAAATAACATTATATAAAAATATCGAAAATTAATTTATGAAAAATAGTTATCGATACTTTTATGGATAAAAATTAATTATTTAAAATCAAAGGTTATACCTGGATCAAGGGCTTTACTAGAGATTCGTTCGGTCCAGGTTCGTGTGACAAATACTTACGGTTCCAGTTTTGTTTGGGTTCTGTAAATAATAATAGTTAATAGCGGTGTAACTAACCTGAAAATAAACAGGTACTGATTTTAGTTTATTGTCAATCAATAATTTAAAATTAGAATTAAAATGGTTCTGTTATATAACTCAAATTAATCCTAATTAAAATTTATCTAAATAAATAAAATAGTAAATAATTATAAAATTATTTTATACATAATAATACATATAAAAATATAAATATAATAATAGTTTCATAAAATGAAAGGATAATCTATTTTAGTTAGTGGACATATTTGGATAAAATTTTTTTTTAGATAAATATTAAATTATAAGTATAAAATTCTTTGATAGAATTTATATAATCCTAAGGTATATTTATAAAATGCAAAAAATATAAAGGTTTCCATCATTTTTTTAAGAATTACACCGAAAATAAAAGTCAATTCTCAGTTTATTCATTTAAATTTAATTTTTTAAATGTTATAGATACCAACTTATATACCATAAAATGCAAAAAGATCCTGGTAGAATTTAAACAAAATTAAAGTAAATTCTCCATTAAGTCTTTTCTATTTTTTAAATTAATATGCGGGACATTTTTTCTGGGGTTCGTGATAAATTTTTCGATTATATGTTGGAATCTAGTAATGTTGCCAAATGGCTAAAGTTTATTATTGATATAATATATAATAATCGAAACAAAGAGGGTAAGGATCAACTGATTCCCTGTAAATGCCTAAGTAGGAAACAAAATTTATAAAAGCCAACTGCGAGAAGCGAGCGAAATATAATTTAAAAAAAATCGAATGTAGTTATAATTATTATAACTAGCTTAGTGGGGGTGCATTGGACTAGAATTAGGGGGTATATTACTATGGAGTGGGGAATTGTCTGTGGGGGTGGCAGTAAAATCAATTGTTTTATTGAGAGTATCGTCAAAAATTTTGGACAGAAGCCCCTTGTGGCTATCCTTTTGGCGAAAGCGGATTGAGAGGGATATAACTTGAGGATAGAGGATAAGAGGCCAAGGCGTGCGTGAGGCTGATAACGGAGACGTCGTTCATATACATTCTCTTATGCTTGAGGTAAAAATTTCCAGTAGTAGCAAACTATCGACTATAGGTACTAATAGGAGCGTGACAGATAGGTTATAGGGGCTGACCTACCTGGAAAAAATATGTGTGATTATAGGGTAACCTCCCACATCCACTTGGGATGGAGGTGCTTGTTGGTATCTGAAAGATTTCCACCTGGTTAGTCTTCATTGTCGGAGTTTTGCAATGATGAGTCGGAGCGATCATCGATCGAATCAATTCAATATTCTGCTCATGATATCAGTATTTGATGCACGTTGATATCTAGTGTGAATATAGGAAATCTATCTCTTTTTATATAGAATTAGTAGGCTTGGACTTTCTTGGGGTATAAGCTTTTGGCTTGGGTCGTTGGTATTTTGGTGCTGTTCAATGACATATATGGGGAGCCGAGAGGTTCATCATATTGTTAAGCGTAGGGCTGAGGTTTGGATAGGGACGCTCCATATCTTAAGCCATAGTAAGCAATGGCTACTCGAAAGGGTTTCTTCTTGATGGGTTGAGGCAGTGCTCCTCCTGAGGGAAAAATTATTGATTTCACCTGATATCCTAACTGGCTCCAGATTCCATGGCGCATTTTTGAGCTCTTAAAACCACATCTCTTATCAGGGTTAGGGAACTTGTGGAGGACAATATTTGATCCATGAGCTTGATAGACGGGAGCTCGTAGCTGTCTGATATAGGGAAGGAGATATTTGGGGTGATGTCGTTAAGATAATGACTTTCATAATCAGTCTTCCTTTATCAATCTCGGCTATAACATTGATTTTTAAGTGGGAGAGGATATTAAATAAATATCTTTAGACAAATAAGTAATTAAGATATGCTTTGAAAATCAGGCTAGGTTTAGACGTATCTATACCTTACATAAAAGATGCGGAATAACGGTTAATTCGCTAGCATTTTATTTTTTATAATTATATAAGTTAATATCTAGAAAATTTCAAAAAACAAAATACTATTAAAAAATTTTCAAATAAATGAATAATTGTTTTTTATTTTTGAAATTCTTAAAGAAATGATGGAAACCCACAGGCGCGTAAGCAGGGTGTGGGCCCCCCCCCCCAAGCCAAAAAATGGAGATGACTGATATTTTTCAAAAATATTATTGTTTATATTTGTTAATATTTATTCCTATCTCATATTAAATATATATTTAAACATTTATTATCAC